GGGCGAGTTGGACGCCGGCGGAAGCAAGTCGCTGTCGCTCACGTTCTTCTGGCTCGACGCCGGCGCGGGCGTCGCGTTCTTGTCGGTGCCGGCGCCGTCCTTGGCGTCGGTCGTCTTGCCGCCCGAGAGCGTCACGGCGAGGACGACGGCGACCGCGACGGCCACCAGCAGCGAGACGAGGATAAGGATCGTCTTCTTCTGCATCTTCCTCGGGAGGGAGCAACGAGCGACCAGTGAAATTGGAATCTGACGCAAATGGGCACCGCCCTCTACCTTGACATCTTGAAATACAAAAAGAGCAATGAATAAGCTAAAGTGCGACCGATAAGAGTCTTTTTGAGCTGCCTGCGACCCGACTGATCGATCTTCTGGCGTGGCACGCGAGAGATCCGGATAGAAAGTGACTCACGCCCTGTCTACCAATCAAAAAGGCGCATTTACGGATGCATGGATGAGAAATTTGATGTTTGCGGCGGCATGGACCAGCCACCCATTCGGGGCTCTACCGTACTAGGTACTGACTAGACCGCTTCCTGCATTGCGGCGGCTCGTCCTCATGCTATCGCTCTACTACGCTCTTGCATCGCGCGCGTGCGCTGTCCTCTTAAGGAAGACAACCTGCTTGGTGCACGCTGGATGTGGGTACATTTCGTACAGCACAACCTGGTGCCAGCTGGCGGGCGTCGAAAAATCGCACCATTTGATGCCAACTTCAAGGCCGCGCTGGTGCTCCTTATAAAAGCCTCACGAGCAGGGGACGAGGGTCCGTCAAGTGCTGGCAAGTTGTCTGCACGGTTGAGCGCCAACTTTGTCTGAACGCTCGTCGCGAGGGACCACCACGAGGAGCGGTGCTAACGCCGGTGCCGCGACGAGCGATATGTGCAGATCGTACTCTGACGCGAAGATACTTTTACGATGTGCGAGTCACAGCGAGGAGGAGTGCGTTGGAAAACCGTCGACGTTGGTGCGGGCGGGCGACGCCATGAAGAAGGCGCTGTCGATTCGACCGGACACTCGCCAAGGCTCGCATCGTGCCATGGCGCTGCAGTCTGTAGGGTGCTGGCGCACGGAATGCGGTGAAATTTTCGGGTGGGAATTGTCGTCTTGCGACGAACGCGGAGAACATGGAAGGAAGTCTGAAAGGAAGCCACCGTCCATGCAGTCTCCATGCTGCGGGCGCCTTGCCCATGATCCCGCTGCACGGAGCGTTCGTCTTGTCGATTGTGACAGACGTTGACGTCGAGGAAGGTCGCTGCTAGATGATATGAAGCCTTGTTCACAGAGTCAATCAAGTAGAATTAAACTTACGACAACGAGCACGCTATCGTCTCGCAGGGAAGGTAACCGGTAAATGTGCCGACCGACAAGGTTGGAATCAGTCATCCATGCCAGGATTTCTATGTAATTTTTATGGGTCGAAATGGATAACTTCCGTAATTGCCGTATTCAAGTACCGGTACCAGTACATCAAACCCTACGGACCTCTCGGCACCTCTACTATGGAGAAAGCTCGGTACGAGCCAGGGTACCAGCAGAACATCACATATCCATTAACCTCCATCCATTAACTTCCATCGTCTGCGGCCCATGAAAAATTTCTCCTAAGGATCACGAGCATCAAGGGGCGGTGCCGACGATGCTCATGGAAAGGACCGACAACGGACGAAATAAGGTAATTGGAGCGCGCGACAGATTGCTGTAACATCGTCCATACCCGTGCAATTTGAATCTCTGTGCAAATCGCGCTGGTGGCCATTTGCCATTCGCCACCACTGGTCGCCGCCTTCATGCAGAAGAAGACGATCCTTATCCTGGCGACGGTGCTCGTCGCCGTCGCCGTCGCCGTCATCCTCGCCGTGACGCTCTCGGGCAGCAAGACGACCGACGCCAACGACCGCGCCGGCAACGGCCAGAACCCGACGCCCGCGCCAGGCCAGAAAAAATGTGACGGCCGACGACCTCCTCGCGACGACGGCGCCTGGCTTCAACACGCCGACGCCCGCGCCCACGGCCAACCCTGAGACGGACCCCGCAGTCATTACGATGCTCGCGATTGGCGACTGGGGCAGTACGACGGGCAAAATCTCGTCGACGTCTGCCAAGGGCGAGGGCCCGCCGGGCTCGTGCTGCAAGCTCTACGAAGACAGCACTGTCGACACGTCCCGTCAGCGCTACAAGGTGGACTATTTCTCCCAGCTCTACGTCGCCGACATCATGGCCAAGTCGGCTGGCGCGCTCAAGCCCAAGCCGTCGCGCATCCTCGGGCACGGCGACAACATCTACTGGGACGGCGTCGGGCCCGGCGACATTCAGTACCGCATGGAGGAGACGTTCGAAAAGATGTACAACCAGCCTGAGCTCGCCGGTATCAAGTGGGTCAACGTTGCTGGCAACCACGACATTGGCGGCTCCGAGTTTATCTGCGGCGAGAAGGACAACGCGTTCCGCAAGTGCGACGACACGGCCGAGATGCTCAAGTACCTCAATCTCAAGTTTTCGCTGCAGCAAAATTACCAGAGCCCGAACGGGAACCGGTGGCTCATGAAGGACCACTACTACATTGAGACGGTCGAGAAGGACGGCGTGACCGTTGAGATTTACAACCTCGACACCAACCACGCCGAGTCGCACGGCGCCGACCAGGTCTGCTGCCAGTGCTTTGGCTACGCGCGCTTGTTTGGCGTCAAAAACTCCAATTCCGAGTGCAAGAACGTGGGGCCCGGCAACCGCCTCTGCGCCGGCGGTGACCTCGGCATGTACAAGGCCTGCATGGAGACGATCGAGAAGTGGGGTCAAGACTCGATGGACGGCGCGATGCGGGACTTGGCGGCCTCGAAAGCCGACTTCAAGATCATCAACACGCACTATTCGCCGCATTTTCACATGTCGCCCGCGCGCATGATGCGCTGGTACAACGTGACGCAGAAGGCCCACGTGCACGCGTGGTTCAACGGCCACACGCACGGCTTCAACCACGACATTGCCAAGTGGGGAACCCACTTTTTCCAGAATGGCGGCGGCGGTGGTATCGTCACCGAGGCCTCGACGCCCGGCAACAACGAGTTTCTCAACCCGATCTGGGTCGCGGGCGGCAACCCGTACGGCTTTATGGAGCTTAGCTTCTCGAAGGACTGGCTCAAGGTGCAGTTTGCGACCTTTGACAAGTCGTGGAACTTTGGCGGCTTCAACCTCGCGGCGACCACCCGCGGCGGCGTTGCCAAAGGTCACTGCTGGTACATCCCGCGCACGCAGGGCTCGACCGGTGTCAAGTGCAGCGACTCGGTGGATACGCCGATCGGCATGCCCATTTAAGACACAATAAAGCATAGCAGGCTGGCTTCTCATCAAGAGAACGATTTTTGACAAAAAATTTCTTAGATATGGTGACCCATGACGTGGCAGCACCCGACGACGCTCGTATTCAAAATCGCCAAATTCGTGCAGACCCATGACGTTGGCAACGCGAGTCGCCGAGAGACGAAGCTTGGTCGACGCGATGGCGGGCGCGAGCGCTGCGTACTCTTCGCCTGTGGCCACGGGCTGGCCATCGCCTGCTGCTGGGATTTTCCACCGGCATCCCGATTGGCCGGATGCCTCGATGCGTGATTAGGAAAGCCCACCAACTGCAAATTCAACAAGATCCACGGCTCCAGTTTGGCGTGCCCGGCAAGAAGGTCCTCGTCGCCTTCATCGCGGCTGTGTATCAAACGCTCGTGCTCTAGGAGCCGTTTGTGGATATGCCAGAGATGGGCATGGCCGCCGCACGGAGCGCTGTCATGGGTACGACGACGTGGACCGGATAGCTTGTGTTCGCGACGTTGGCTATGGATAGACAAGCGCAATTATCCGATGCTGATTCATTGCAACAAGGGCAAGGTACAGCTCCTCTCTATTCTTCAACAATGATATAGTGTCGATTGCGTACCATCGAACGGGCTGCCTCCGAAACGTCTGCGCTGGACGATAGTCACGAGCTGTTTATCTTGGGTATTAATCTCACTACGTTATGTTCATGCTCTGCGTCGAAGCACTGCGATATCATCGGATTCGGGGCCGCGAGGACCCTTCTTGGCACTGCCGGCGCTGCTCTGGTTGTCCGACTAGTAGCTGGCATTTTCCAGGGCAAAATAGCGCAATGCAAATGCCCCACGCTTCCCCATTCAGAACGTTCCTCCCAGTCCAGCCCGGTTGGGACCTGTCGACGACATCCAAGGACTAAAACCAATTCCCTTGGACACATCATTCCACGCGCGCTCTCCCGCGTCGGTTTTCCGTCCACACTGCGTGCGTTCTTGGTTCGATGGCTTCTTCGACTCGGAGCGTGTTGCAGAGGCAGGGTCCGTTCAAATAGTTTGCGGTGCCGCCGCAACTCGTTGGGCAGCGAAGGCTACCAGTACGCTGCAGATGCCCCAAGGTAGCCGACGGCAAGCGGGTTGGCGCAGGTCCCAAAAACAGACACGGAGAAAGTACTCCCACCAACTAACTGGCCTTTCCGCAGCTCGACTTGGCCATGCCAAGGTCGCCACAGTTTGCGATCGAGGGCCAGCCTCTAGAATGAAGAAGACGACATGGAAGAGGTGCTAGAGTCGTGTTGTGGCAATAAATACGCGCCTCTTTACGGGGATCCGAGCGCGCCGTTGACGGACGACTTGCACTCGACGCCGGGAATCAAGCCCGACTTGTGGATGTACCAGCAGTGGCCGCGCGCGAGACCGCCGACCGTCGTCGCGCTCGGGTCAAAGCCGCCAAAGACCCACTTGTTGTCAAAGGTCACAAACTGCACCTTCATCCACTGCTTGGAAAAACTCAGCTCCATAAAGCCATACGGCTGGCCGGCAGCAGCCCATTTCCTATCCAGAACGACGCGTTCAAATCCATACGATCCATATCTTCTTCAACGTACGTGGTGACGCCGTAGGCGGTCGTGGCCGTCATGGCCGACTGCGACGAGATGCCGCCGCCCGCGCCGTTGACGAAAAAGTGCGTGTTCCACGGCGCAATGTCGTGGTTGAAGCCGTGCGTATGGCCGTTGATCCACGCGTGGATCTTGTACTTCTTTGTGAGGTCGTGCCACAACTTCATGCGCGTCGGGTTCATGTGGTAGTGCGGCGAGTAGTGTGTGTTGACGACCTTGAAATCAGCCGTCGTCGCCGACAAGTCTTTCACCGCGCCGTCGTAGCTCATTTTGGCCCACGATTCGATCTTGGCGATGCATTTCTACATCGAACGTCTCAGGGTGACGCTTGCCGCAAGGACGAGAAGAGAGAAGTTGGGACGTACGTCGTACATGTCGGTGTCGCCACCGCAGCAAAACTTGTCACCGCGCGCCACCGTCTTGCACGGATCAAAGCCCGCGGGCTGGCCCGTGTTGCTCGAGTAGCCGTAGCACTGGCAGCACGTCTCGGGCGCGCCGTGGGCGTCGGCGTGGTTCGTGTCGAGGTTGAGCACGTCGATCGTGATGCCGTTCTTGGTCACGCGGTCAATGTAGTAGTGGTCCGTGAGCTTCCAACGGTCCTGGTTCGGGCTCTTGTACGTCTGCTGGAGACCAAACTTGGAGTCGAGGTACGTCAGAAGCTCTTCCGTGCTCGTGCACTTGCGAAAGTTGTCGTCGTCGTCGCCGCAGATGAAGCTGGCGCCGCCAATGTCGTGGTTGCCCGCGACGTTGAGCCACGTGATGCCTTGCAGATCGGGCTGGTTGTACATCTCTTCGAACGTCGTCTGGAAGCGGTACGCTGCATCGTCCTTCCCGACGCCATTCCAGTAGATGTTGTCGCCGTTGCTGAGAATGCGCGACGGCTTGGGCTTGAGCGACGCCGCCGACTGCGCCATGAGCGTCGCCACGTTGGCCTGCGCGTAGTAGTCGACCTTGTACCTAGTCGACGATACGTGAGGTGCACAGCGATGGAACCACGTACCGAGGCTTGGAGATGTCAACCTTGCCCCAGTTCGAGTCGGCGGTCAAGTAGACGATGCAGCACGACCCGGGCTTGCTGCCGTCCGCCTTTTTGCCTACGCCAACATGTCTACGCGTCGCCGACCTGCGTGATGGACGCACCGGTGGTTGAGCCCCAGTCGCCGATCGACAACATCGTGGCCAGAATCGGGTCGGTCTCGGGGTCGGACTGGGGCACGTTGAGCGCACCGCTATCGGTCGAGTTGCCGCCGCCGCCGGTACTGCTTCCCGACATGTCGCTGCCGCTGCCAGTCGTCTGCCCCGACTTGCCGTTCGCTGAGCCGCTTAGCGACGACGAGCCTTTGGTCGACATGACAACGGCAACAGCGACACCGGCGGCGGCTATCACGCAGACGCCCGCGATCGCCATGAGGATGCGTGGGTTGAAGCGGCGCCGCGGCTCGCCGCCGACGTCGTCCGAGTCGCGAAAGTCCATGATCGGGATCTCGGTCACGCTGTCGGGCGCCTCATACTTGCGCGGATCTACGTACGTTCTAGAGATGAGCTTCGTCGCAGCCATGGACTCGTACCCTCGCGTCGGGCCATGGTCAATTCCGATATACGCACGATGAGGCGCGCCGAGGGACATCGAGTATTTTATTTCGTCCGGCCTGTTTCTGGATACAAACGCGAGTAACACGGCGTGAATTTATTTTATTATCCACGCCGTCGTGCTGGAAGGTCGCGAAGTGCTTTTACGTCGTAAGTAACTGCGCCGTCGCACCCAAGCGCGGCCTTCATGGCCGCCGAGCTTGGCCGCAGCTGCGCAAGGAAGCCGACGCGGGCATGACGTGGCGGACTGAGCGGGCATATGACGATACATGGAAAGGGCCGAAGGAGCGTTCCAGCTGGAACGTCGTCGTCGTCGTGGCCCTGGGACAGGCCCACTTGCGGCGACAACGATGCGACGCAGAGAGAGAGACGGAAAGACAAGGTGTACATAGATATCAAGTAATATATAAGTTACGGTGGCGTGATGGGACTCGAGCTGCCACTGCTGCTACAACTGCTTGGCCCGTCGCTGCGACCAAGCTGGAGCTTGCCGTCGACCTCGCGATACAGTGTTGCGGCTGCCGCCGAGAGCGCTTTCTCAAGGTGCAGCACTTGGTCGAGGCAGACGCGCACGTCGTGAACGCTGCGCAGCGTCATGAGCACATCGAGGACGAGCGGAAGCGCGGTGTCGTTGGCGTCGTCGACAAAGCTGGGCAATGGCACGCCATTCGTCGGTTGCGGCAAGAAGGACATTGGGTTGTTGTCGACGAGCACGATGTGCGAGAGCGACTGGTCGAGATACGGCAAGAGCCGCCGAAGGTCCTTGAGCGCAAGGCCACGCACGTGTGTACAGTCGTTGTAGAAGAACCGGCGCCGGAAGATCGACCGCGTCGGGTCGAGCATATCGACGATCGGGTTGGCGTAGCCTGCTTCCGAGCTCGTAAAGAGGTACACATCAAAGTGCTTCGCCAAGGACGCCAAGAACGCGTCGACGCCTGGACGCTTGTGCACCTTCACCGAGATGTCGGGCGTCAAGACCACGTCGATGGCGTCGGCGAACGCTCCGTAGCGCACGTGGGCGTACTGCGTGTGGACAAGGCACTCGTCCAAGTCGAGGACGATCGCGAGCCGCGTCGGCGCCGGCGCTTCGTTGGCTTCTGCCACCGCCGCGAGGCT